CATCTTCAGCCAGCTTGGGAGTACAGGCATGAGTGTTAGACTTTATAGACAAAGCACTGGGGGAAGGGTGTGAAAGGTATGCCTAATGGTGTGCCAGTCCAGTCACAGGTGTGGTCTGGCTGGTTCAGTCTTTGTTTTGGAGAGTTTCCAGAGAAGTTGTCAACACTGTCAGAGTATACCAGTCATCCTTGCTTGCTGGGTGGTCTGTCCTGAGCATGCTCTATTGTTCCTTGGGGAACAGTGTCCCCGATCATAATCCATGCTCCCAGACTCCAAAGCGATTGTAAAGTGACTGCAGAGAGAACGGTGAACAACAGAGGCACACAACATGAAGACAGGGATGCCAAGCTTTTCTCTTGCTTTTAGTTAATTCATGCCCCCAGCAAAAGCAGCCTCCAAACCTCAATCTCAAAAACCTTTACTTACTCACATCTACAAACAAGTCTGCAGTCCCAGGCCTTAGAGAGTAGGTGGGGATGTATTATTTTTTCAACCTACTCCAGTGAGCTGGGAAAACTATCCAGGTATCAGCCAGGAGGCCCACAGCTCTGCAGTACTTTTTTAAATTTTATTTTGTCAGTCATGGGGTTTGGACTCAGGACTTGGGCACTATCCCTGAGCTTTTTTACTCAATGCTAGTGTTCTACCACCTTGAGCCACAGCGCCACTTCCGGTTTTCCAGTGGTGAATTGAACTCTCAGAGATAAAGGGACTGGCATGGAACTTGCAAAGGAGCTTTCTGTTCTCATCTCCATTGCATCATAGTTGTAACCTAGACATGTCTCCCCAGCAGGGGGAGGGGGAGGGGGAGGGGGAGGGGAAGGGGAGGGCAGAGATGGAGTGTGTGAGGACCAGGTGGCTTGATGAGTGGCAGGGGACCCCCAGATCTGCCTTTCTTAGCTTGGGAACACACCTGCTGGGTGACCTTAAATATCTTTCAATTTCTTTGAGCCCCAGTTTTCCTTTCTTTCATTATAAGCATTAAAAATATACTTGTAAAGTGAAGACCTGGATAGCTTGACTCTCAACATCTCTTTGGACCTAACTAAGGACCCAAGTTCTCTTCATTTTCATCTTCTTGGATCTAACTAAGGAGTCAGAGACAACAGCTCTTTCATTCTGTGATTTTTTTTTTCTTTCCCTGGGAACTGGCATGTAAGGCCTGGCAATTAGCATCCATTCAAACTGTAGCTTTGTTTATCATCTCCTGCTATCAGTTTTCTTTTCAACAGCTAGATTTTCTCTTTGGGGGAGATCTTGCTATAAATGGTTCATCTTTAAAAAGCTTTGGCTAATTAACCTAAATATGGGGCACTCTGAACACACTTACTGTCTGCTGCCTAATTAAGAACAGAAACACATTCATGTGAGGCACCAGAGGTTTCTGCTAGCCTCTTCCTCTTCCTTCCATCCCTTCCCCAAACGTCTCTGCCACAACCTTCCTCCCCATTTTTCTCTCTTCTCTTGCTGCTTTCTGGACCCCATTTCCACTCTGCTTCAGAAACCCAGGAGTTGGTAGTTCCTGCCTGTAATCCTAGCTACCCAGCAGGCTGAGATCAGAGGACAAAGGTTCCAAGCCAACGCTGCTAGGCAGACGAATGAGACTCTTATCTCCAATTAACCAGAAAAAAAAAGCAAGAAGTAGAGGTGTGACTCAAGTGGTAGAGTGCCAGCCTTGAGTGAAAGAGCCGTGTCCCTGCCTGCCATCCTGGCCTGTCAGCTGCTCATTTCTCCTGTGTTCTCCTATACTCTCCATCCTACCAGGGGCTTGGTGTCCTCTGCTTCTAGCCATTGTTCCTCTCTGCCCAGCGGTGTGGCACCTGAGCAGGCACCTGCCCTCCCTTTCTGGAGCATTCTTTGGTCTCTTCT